AAAAAAGGTTAAGTGAAAATGATATACTGGCCAAGTTGTACTAGCAGTACCTCGAGTTCCATCATTGCCATGTATTTGTGCAGGGGAACTTCATATTGCCTAAGACTCTGCATTAGCTTTTTCTCCTGATATGTCATATCATATCATACATACGAGTAAGTGAATAGAATTTAATATACAAATATTAAGGAAATTTATTACAGAATTAATCAGTTGACCTGAAGCTCCTGGGAAATAACAGCCGGCGGCAGAAGGCCACGCAAGTAATGAGCATCTCTCTCTCTTTCAGTAAAGGCAAGCCCCTTATTGTGATGAGGGTCTCTCAGCAAATTATACCCGCTATTTATTTATCAAAGGATTGAGGAAAAATCAAGATATGCTGATAGATACCCGTATGCATAAAATCTCCCAATTTAACGAATCAAAATATGCTGATAGATACTCATATGTATCAACATCAATTTAACTAAAAAAACAAGATCAAATGATCATCTTATGTGTTCAAATTACAAGCAAACAGCACAAAAGTTGACTTGTGTTCTGTTCACCATATAGCAACTTGAAAAGAAGATAATAAGCTCCATGAGTTTAAGAAATTTGGAAAGCAAACCAGAAAGTAAATTACCTAGAAACGGAAACAGTCCAGGGAGTGACGAGTTGATCTTCGGAGGCGCGATCCTCACCGTACACGTCCTCAACTCCTCCCCCAACCGTCCATCTTGGGCTCAAGTCCAAAACGCACTCCCCTCCCCTTCGCTCCTTTAGAAAACTCTCCATCCAAAATCTCTTCAAAACTCTCACGCCTATGCAACCGATTTACTTGTGCAAAAGAAACATACAAATATATATACTAATAAATTATTGTTTAGTCTTGGTGTCGTAGCTCAAAGAGTCACACATGGCGGGCTTGCATAAAATAAAATGTAACTGTATATATATATAATAATATTAATAAATAATAAAAAAATAATTAAATATGCCAAATGATAATTTGCAATAATGAAGGAAAGTGAAACATACAAGTATACTAATAAATATTTTTCTAGTCTTGGTGTCGTAGCTCAAAGAGTCACACATGGCGGGCTTGCATAGAAGGTTACTGTATATAAAATAATAAATAAATATGCCAAAAGGATAATTTGCAATAATGGAAGGAAAGTGGAGTCTAATCATCTGTTTTTGCATTATTAAAAAAATAAAAGAGGAAGTAGTGGAGCTCCAATTCGAGGAAAAAAAAAATCGGTAAAGAAACAATGGGACAACTGTAGACTATGTTGACTAAAACCAACTAATTGATTTTTTTTTTTTTTTTCGAAACGATAAAGATCTTATATATAAACATACAAAAATACAGCCACCAGCTGAATACAAACAGCCAACGACTGAATACAAATAGCCAACGACTGAAAAAGTGGAAGGACAGTCAAAAGACCGCCTAGAGCCGACCCTAACGGGGTAATACTCATTGACACACTAAAACACTAACACACAGAAAAAACTACTAAATTAAAAGACCTCAATAGGGTAATACCCGAACTAATTGATTGTCACATTCAATTAATAATATTTAAAATCCAATTTTTTTAGTTGGCATTTTTGGACAAAATTTATTGGTGACCCAACACAATGGTCACCAGCAAAACGAAAAAGTCAAAAAGAAAAAATTCCAAAAAATGGGCGACCTACACTCAAGTCATAAAGTGAGACATTGGGTTGCGATGGGATGATGATATTGGAAATGGAATACTTGTTTCACTAGAAGCAACTTAAATTCATAATTGACTAGATGTAAGTGTTAGACGCTTTTATGCGAAAAAATTAAACAATTTAGTATTTAAAAAACTAATTTTTTGTTACTTGGATTGTCGATCTCTATGTTTACAAGGACAATCTTAAGGATGTTGTTACGATAATGCTTCATGATGTTGCAAGTCACTAGTAATAAGGGTCTAGAATGACATATTTTTCATGACTAAATACAATGTCAATTATACATATTTTGCAAATAGATATTTTTGCATCAACGATGAATGAAATAGTCTAGGTAGAAATCATTGATATTTTTGTATAATAGGTTTCATCTATAAAATATTATTTTCATTTGTTGTTTTAATAGATAGATAGATTCATAGTTTAATTAGGTCATTAATCAATATTTTCCCTTTTATTCACGTAGTTATAGGTTTAGTTCACTTCTCATGTACACCTCTTTCCTCAAGATACTATATATTTTCTAACAATATTAAATTGGATGCATGTGAGTAGAGGTGATTATGAGTCAGTACGGTTCGAAAATTCATAAATCTCCGAAACCGCACCGAAATTCAAAAATCACAAAAATTGGTATGGTTCATTTGGAGATTTATGTTTTCCAGTTGGGTTCGGATCAGAGCTATGGAAATTTCTAATTTCAAACCTTTTTTTCGAATGACTATCTAGTTATATTTAAATTTTGATATTTTTCTAAAGTTTCAATATTCATAAATATTTAACCATATTAAATATTTTGTTTTGAAACCAACCTTAGAAAATACATAAATAAATCAGACTTTCAGTTAAGACTTAATTCTTAGAACTAAGATGAAAATTTAAAATCCTAACAAAATATAATATACTTTTTTTAAATATAAAATAAAATTTATTTTTTCATACCATTTTTATTATAAAATGAAATAAGAGTAAGAAAATAGCAACAAATGTAACAAAATATTTATTTCAAGAATCAAAAAAGTAATAATTATTGGTCAAATATTATTAAGTATGAAATTTAAGTGAAGCTTAATTGTTATTACTATATTCTATCTATTAATGATTTGGAAATATTCAAACTATATAGGACTAAAGTTAATATAATGAACAAGACAAGCATAATGCTACAATTCGATTCTTCATTTTGGTACGATATGGAATGGTTCGGTTCGATTTTCAGTATGGAACTTTATGAAATCTCCAGAACCATACCAATTATTCTTTCAGTTCCGTTCACAGATATTCAAATAGTAAATGGTTATTTTTTGGTTTGGAGTGATTTTCTTCCGTCTTTTAAACAATTTGGCATTATCCGAATACAGTGTTCAGCCCTACCTACAACAACATGGGCAGTGTTGACAACAACGACAACGACAACGCGACCAATGTGTGTGCCTACAACATCACAATATTTGTCTAAGTTAAGAACTGAGATAAAATGTAGGTGATATAGAGGTTAAGTAACTCAAAGTTACTTACACTCAAAAGTAGTCGGACTCGAACGAGCACTCAGGCCAGCCGAGCACAAGTGCTGACCAGTGCAATGGTGCCAACAAGAGATGTATAACAATTAGTTCGTCATCATTTATATGTAGTAAGGAAATATTGAACTTATAAAGCCAATATTTTTTATCCATACAAAAGAATTTTCCTCCTAATTAATACATACGTAAAGTAATCAAAAAACGAGTGTGTATAAATTGGTTTGAAAGTTTCCAATACTTGAGATCTCTCCACTTCCCCAACCAGAGCAATTGCTTACAACCTCAACTACACAAACTAGTGTTACACTCTGAAATTACGTGTTTTTAAAGTTAGAGAATTACAATAAAGAAAACATCCCCATGTCAATTGAAGTCCAAAGATAATTCTTACAGTCGCTTCATTCAACTTGTTAAAACTCTCTTTTGACCCAAAGAAACAGATATCGAGAAACATATTTGATGAGTAATAATTTAGTTGCCTTTGTATTTTGTCCCAGTCATGCATTTCAATAGAAGCTGCATCATCACCTGGCCTCAAGCATCAGCAACATATGCATACAAAGGTCATACACAGACTCACAGAGATATTTTTCTCTCCTTTCCTGTGACAGCAAAACTATTGTCTGGTAAAGCAAGAACTTTTCACTCAATACCTATATGCAAAGGTTTCAGAATCTATTTGCTGAACATTGGGGAATATTTGTCTCAAAGTAGAAATATAACTTGCAGAATTTGCCTGCAAAATGTTAAAGAATAATTTAAAAGGCTTGATTAGTACTTCCAGGAGAAATAAGGGCAGAGAGAGAATAACAAGAGTCATTGCCCGTAATCAATATAAGATAAGTAGTGCATACACATGAATTGCGCTCGAGGTATATGGTAGTGAGAGTCGCCTTGGAACCGGCAACAGCTTCAGCTATGTTATCCAATGAGGTTATCTGGTTGTCATTAAGCCATAGATCCTCTAGCCTGTGGCCCAAAAAAACAAAAGAAAAACATGAACAAAATTGTCATGCAAGCATGCGGATATGAAAAAGATTAATGCATGACACAGTCAGACTAATTTTCATCATACTTTGTCAAGTTCTCGATGTCATTTACTTCTGTAAGCTTATTAGATGCCACATCCAGAACCCGTAGGTTAACCAGAGTTGATAAACCTTCCATTTTCGCAATTCCATTATGGCTCAAGTATAATTCTTCTAGTGCAACACATTCCTGCATATCATGAAAAAAGCATAGAACAGGCAACTATAGTCCGTACGTGTGTGGAGTCTTCCATAGAATTCAAATTTGAAGTATTATTAGCATAACACAGGCACATATTGTCCATGCATACTTACCTCAAGTCCTGCCATTGAAGTTAACCGGTTGCTTTGAAGGCTGAGCTTCTTAATGCCTTTTAAACCACAAAGGTTAATGGCGCGAATACGGTTCCGGCCAAGCCACAGCTCTTGCAAGGACGACAAGTTTTGCATATTCTCCATGACCTGATAATTCAAACTAAGTTCATAAGTAGCTGCTACAGAACCCTCTAAAAATAAAGATCTTCCGCTGTTCCTTTAATAATTGTCAGCTTGGCACACTCGCTATTAAATTTAAGCTTTCATATCATACAGATAAGAAAATGGTTTGCTAAATGCTATAGAAAGAGGCATGCAACAAGTCTTTCCCAGTAAAGGCTTGTCTAAATTTAAGAATTTCATTTTCTCATATCACCAGAGAAGGATGAATCAGTTCACTTTCCCATGATAACATTAAAGAAATTAACCCGATAGAATAAACATAGAGCATCAAAAGAGCTAATATAACTTATGAAATAGCCAAACCCGTAAATTGTTTGATCCAAGCTCGAGAATCTGCAGGTCCTGGAAGTGCTCAATCTCCTCTATCTTTGCCACTTCATTTTTAGACACGTAAAGCTCTTTAAGTGTGTTTGCGACCTTGGAAAGGCCATTAAGTGAAGAAATCTCATTGAACGAGACATCAAAGACCAGAAGCATTTTGAATATGTTAACATCTGGAATTTTCTTCAACTGATTATCCCTCAGCACTAGCTCCTGAAGCAAACAAAAGAGACCATTGATACTGGGACAGTAGTTAAAGAATTAGTGTTTTCATTAAGCCCTTCATTACAGAATGTCTGCAGACAACCTCAAAGCCAGCATATCATAGTAAAAAGACCATAAAGACAATGTAGAATGGACAGGTTCTGCTAAGTGTTTGCATTATTTATAGTGAATAGTGTTACTCGCCCGTCCTTTAACAGCATGGCCGCATAAAGTAGCTATTGATTTGATCATCCAGAAATATGCTTTTCAGGAAAACATGTGCTTCCGGCAACATACTGGATAAGCACACATGCAAATACAGAAGCAACATAAATAATTCGATCCACAAGACACATTTCATTTTCGGAAATACAGAATGAAGTTCTTATGTAGTAGCGTATCATTGTACAAATCCAAACAAAACAAGAGGTGAAATGCAGATGCCTGGCAAACATTTGGAGATCATTGCTCCTCATGCCAGCTAAACAGTTGGTTCATATAACTGATCAAGCTGTTCAGAATGCTTACAGATAGCCCTCGACAGAAATCAACCAAATATCACATAGATTCAGACATAACAGTGAACATAATGCATTTTTACCATTGAACTCCAAAATTAGGTTGAAGCACCTAAATTCTAAAGCGACGAAACTACAAAACCCATTAAAAAATTTGTCAGCAACTAAACAAACAGTCCAGGTAACAAGAAGCAGACAAAGAAAAACCGAATTCAGGGGAATATTAATTACTGATAATTAACATAATTAAAATTGAAACAGGAAAGAAAGGAAATAAACGAAAACCTGGAGGCCCGAGATAGAACGCCACGTGGAGAGAGGGAGAACGCCTTCATCGTTGAGGAGGTTCTGGCGCAGGGAGAGCTTCTTGAGATCGGAGAATTGCGAAATACGGGGGTCTAACGCCGTCAGCCTGTTCGCCGTCAGGTCCAGCTCCGTCAGAATCGGCGGCAGCTCAACCGAGCCAAGATCGCGTAGCTGATAGCCTGTCAGGTCCAGCACCGTCGACTCTACGTCAATTTCGGTCGATGGATCGTGGTTGGCAGGTACGCTCGACGAGTCCATATTTTGCAAGACGATGATTGATCGGAAAGTAGGTATTAGATATAATTTAATTTTTGCGATAATTTGTTGATGGAAAAAAAAAATGTAATGGAATAAATATAAATTTTATTATTATGAGACTTTTTTTTATTTTAATTAATATAAAATCAACAAGATTTTGCAAAAATCATATTTTTTCTCTCTCGGTGATTCCCTTTCTCCCCTTTTTTGATAAAGCCCTAATCGATGAATCTCTTTGATAAAGCCCTAATCGATGAATCTCGGCGCGGCTCTCAGCGGCGAGCGTGGTTGGCCTTCTGTGGACAATCGAGGCTTGAAGGCTAATGCTTTGCCTCTTCGTCCCCTGTCCGATCGTTGTTAGGGGATGCCGGTGGTTGTGGCTCCTTGGCGGGTTGTGGTCGTTGGTCGGGCTGGGGGTGGATAGGGAGCGTTTTTAGCTAATCTCGGTCTGGTGGCTGTTTTGGTTGGATCTTGTCTTTGGTCCGGTTCTAGTTAGCCGGTAGTGGAGTTTCCATGACCTTGTTTGGGTTGGGATTTGTTTCCACTTAGATGGTTGTCTTAGGTGTCGATTCGCTTGAGGCTTCTCGGAGTAGCTTAGCTGCTAGTGGAGAGGGCTTTAGTTTAATATTTTTTTTTAGTTTTTCTTGTTTTTGTTGTGTGTTTTGTTTCTTTTCTCTCCTCCTAGGAGTGTGTTTCCCAGTGTGGGAGTTTTTGTAGTATGTCTAGGCTACCTTAGAGCATCTCCAATGGAAATTGTGTTGTATGACATGGAGAAAGGAAATTAAAAAATTGTATCTCCAATGGTTGGTGTTAATTGTGGTATTATTTGTGATGTGTAAAATTTAACTGATTGGAGAAGAGAAATAAATTGAATAAATAATATAATATATAATAGAAGTTGTCTAGAATGACTTCTACATCTAGAAAGCCATCTAGACAATTTCTATGACACATAAGATTTTGTGTACCACGTGGCAACAAAATAAAGCAATGGAAAGGCCATTGGAGATGCTCTTAGAGTCTGTCCTCCGATTAGATTTGGTTATATAGTTGCTTCAGCCAGCTGTTTAGCTTGTTTATAGCTGTAATGATGTGTTCTATCTACATAAGTATCTATCGTTGGAAAAAAAATATATAAAATCTAATATGTGATACCAGACCCTGATAGAAGAAAACCAGTAAACTGGTTGACCAAGCCAAGTGAACCGGCTGGTCGAGCAGAGCAGCAGGAAGATCGTTGGTGGTCGAGCATCACCAACACTGGACCAGGAGTTTATCAGACCGAAGACAACACAAGGGGTATAGGGAGGCAATGACAGGTCGAGTTAGGGTTCTCAGATGGCCTGTTGGAAACTCGACATGTAGGTATGGTTGGTCGTATGATCGACCAGAAAGGACAACACTTGGTCTCACAACAGGCAACGTTTGACTTCAGCAGACCTCGAGTTGGTCGCACCATTAGGCAGTCTAATAGAAAGACTAATGGATAAGAAGGAATCTTAAGGGGTTAAGAGTCGCACGTGGATAAAGCCACGTGGCCTAACAGAATTGTCAGTTTGGGCAGTTCGGGTTGTACTATCAGGCAGTAGGGGCAGCTCCGACAGTTCGGGTAGTTTGGGCAGCCCATTCGAGCATTCTTGAGCAACAAAGTATCATCTCCCTATAGAAGGGAGTGAGGTATGACCGTTATCACATTACATTCTCTATTATTCCATACACTATTTTTTGCACTTCATCTTCTACAAATGCTCATTTAAGCATTGGAGGCTCTTCACCGGAAAACTCCTCCGGTGTGAGTGTTTCCAAGTTCACAGGCGATCTACCATCAAGGAGCTAGAGTTCATGTCATTTCCAGCCGGTCCGAGGTCTTTTACGTACCATTTTAGCGCCATCTGTGGGACTTCGTTTTGCCGTGAAACACCATAGCTGTGGACGGCGAAATTCTCAAAAAACAACTTGGAGCAGAATTTTGACGACATGTGGCCGAACACGCGTCTGTTTAGAGCAAACCGCCTCCGGGTTTCTCCGGACCTTCTCAGACCCCGATGTCCCCAATGCCTTGTCCTACGGGCTTAGGGAGTTCATCAATGGTCCCTGGTGACGTCACGGGCTCAAGCTACACACAGGAGGCTGGAGCAGTTCAGGGTGTGATGGTGCAGACACAGGCGCGACCAAATCGAGTTCAAGTACCACTGGTTGCACCATCAAGGCGTGAGGTCGAATGAGGCCAGCTGGTAACCTTGTCACGGGAGGAGTTGGACAGGATGATAGCTAACGCGATTGCAGTAGGGCAGCAGGCCAATCATCACACTTCACAGGCGACCACAGCACCGATCATGGTGGTGGGGACGAATCAGCACAAGACAGACATGGAGGAGTCAAGCCATGGAGGCCTTGGTGCGAACAGAGATTGAGCGGTCAAAAGGATGCTCCGAAAGGATGGCGGAGCAGATCCGCCAACTGCGGGCTAAAGTAGATGGTAAGCCAGTTGGTAGAGCTCGAGGACACTCCTTTTCTATGGAGATTCTCGACGCAGTGTTGTCGAACAGTTTTCGAGAGATCAGTCTGACGTACGGCGGGTCGACAGATTCATTGAGGCACGTGAAGTCGTTTGAAAATATGTCAGTATTACATGGTTATTCTGATACTGTGAGTTGCGGGGCGTTCTTGTCGACATTGAGGGAGGCGCACAAGATAGTTTTCACCAGTTTCTCCTGGGGTCGATGAAGGACTTCGAGGATTTTTCTACCTCATTTTTGAACCAGTATGTTAGTGTAATAGCGTAGGAGAAGTGTAATAGCGTAGGAGAAGACATATTTGACTTTGATGGCCATGGGCAGGAAGAAAATGAGTCCATAAGGAAGTATATGGGGAGTAGCTGAAGGTACAGGGTATGATCCAACCATTTCACAACAAGTAGTTGAAGGTACAGGGTATGATGATATCAATACTTATTGCAATGCCCTTCAGATACTATTTCCAGAATCTACCAGTGCAAACTTAATCAAAAACTTAATCAAACAGGAACAATTCAGACGTTCAAAATTTATGTTTTCAAGTTCGCCGATTAAAATTAACGTAAACACAAGGCAGCATCCCCCAATTTCATTGAGACAGTACAATTTCATAGGAATGTTCTGCACGAATAAAATAAATTAAATTGTTTCAAGTAAAAGTTTACAACTTTCGGGTTTTTTTTTTTTGGCCGACTTCCTCTCTTTTTTTTTCGATCTGTTAGTGGAGAGAGTGTGCTCTGGGATGGAGTAAGTACCAAACATACTTTAGAATCTGAAATCAGGATCAACATCCATTGCCCAAACAAACTTTGCAAGAAGAGACTTGGTGAAAACCTGCACGGGTAAGTTGCAGTCATCTGAAAAGGAGCCTAGTGGAGTTGTGCCACAAAATCTTAATCTTACTAAAGCATAACATGAATGGATGGAAAAACATTTTTACCTTTTCAATAGGAACTTCATGGCGTTTGCACCATGCAACACTGATCCTGGGATCGTTGTAGTTAATCTTAGACGTGCCCAACGCCACATTCTTCATATCCTCTTTCACCTTCTTGTCCCGTTCCATTTTTTCAATCTTCACCATGCTCTGAGCTATCTTACGCTCTAATCTGCATGCCATTGCCCCCCATCAACTATATAACATGATAAAACTGATAACCAGCAATGCCGCACATTAATTCCATTAATAGTGAGAAACAAATAAATAAACAATGCCAACTTACGCTTCTGGAGTCAAATTCCTCTTTGTTTTACCATCAGCACTCTTCGCCGGTGGTTTCCCTTTCTTTGCCCTGACCAGGTCTATCTGCAGTTCCTCGAGAAGAGCCTGAAAAACCAAATGCCAAAAAAAATTGAAGCACGCTACCAAAATGAACAAGAAAACGTAAACCAGCGGAAAATATAAAGGGGAAAGTGGTGGGGGTAGGGTGGGGTGGTGGGTGACTTGAAGAGAAATGATGAAAAAGTAAGTCTTGCATCAGCAATCAGAAATTAGGCTATTACCTTTGCTTCGTCTATCTTTTCCTTCAATTTTAACATCTGGGCACCGTGGCTCTTTGGATCCGCACGTTGATGATTACAAATGATTGCAACCTAAGACAGATACATGACGAAAATTAGACATCTGAACAAAAAGGTTAAAGTAATCATTCACTTCGACACTGGTTTACCTCTTTGTTTGCATTCTGATAAACAGCAACTTTTTGAGCAACATCTCCACCTTTTGTCTCCTTGCTCAACTGTGACCAACAAAATTAGGCATTCGTGAAGAGCAAGTATAATTTGAGATTACTTTTCATGGGACCGAAGAAATATAATATCGCATACCCTGAATTTTAATATTATCATATACAACACGTGACCCATGTTAATGGCGACCGCGGTAGTGAGTTTAGACTAGCAAGCTATTCTTATCACAATTTACCTTACCATTTCCAAATCCAATAAATTAGCTGGTGAAAAATAACAGGATCAAAAATAAAAGCCACCTAAGTGTATAAAGTCAAACGAAAATTCTACAAGCCAATATAAAAAATATTTGATTACTAACTAATCACATAATATCTCCATTTATTTTTATCTATTTCATTTAAAAAATGCAGAAATAATAACCAATTCCAAAAATCTATTAGATTTACGAAGTCTTAAGTTGTTTATATGATTATTAATCAAGGATTTCTTATATAGCTAGAACGGCCCTCAGAAATCGTGAATACTAATTTATTAAGAATTAAGCGGATAGAAGATAAAGAGTCATCACTCGCCGGAATCAAAAGATCTGCAAGATCAGGGTCACAATTTGTACAATGGCAGGAATATTTAGTCAATTGAAGATTTATGAATTTGGACACCATCCATTACTATTTCACTTTGGCATTGATTAAAATGCAGCCTCTAGAAATCGCTTTCAGGATAGTAGAATAGCCAAATACATATGACAGTTCACATGTCAACAAAAGGAGCACCACAAAAATTTTATTACTTGGCATTAGTTCCCAGGTGCTGCTGGTTCCATAAATAATCACAAACTCAAGGCAAGA